CATCACAAGGGATTTGGTTGTTTTCATTTTCATTTGTCCTGCCTAAGACGGCAACTTATCTAATGCAGGGTGCCCACAACGGCTAGATCGGGCCGATCGGCAGACTCGATCGCCTGAAACTGAAAACAAACACGTTTGTTTTTTAGGCAATTGTTTAATGACGCGAATCAGCGTGGGACGGGTATTTTTTTTACTAATACACCCGTCTCATGTACAGGTTTGATATGCTTTTATTCTAGTAGTATTTTGCATGCTGAACACGAATATGGCCTTCATTTTTGCCGCAAATCAATAGTTACTGAGTTATTTATGTTTGAACACAGAACTAGGACCAGTGGCGTAATAATATTTTACTTACTTTTAACAACATGGGGGGTTTCAGGGGGGCATGCTCCCCTGACGTATAAAGAAACTGAGGGATTTCAGGGGGGCATGCTCCCTGAATTTCACAATGATTTGATGTTTTGGCAATTAGGATTGATATTTACACGAAAACAATTGATTTACAAGGGTTTTAGTGGCCATACGTGTGTTCTGCAGCAAAAATACTGACAGTTTCGCCTTCATATCAGTGCATCTGTGTGTGGGTGGAAAAGTAAAAATTGACCGTGGGACGTAGTAAGGTTGATTGGACATGACAGGTTACAAGGTTACATCCAAATCTCCTGTGCCGACGGAGTTTTGCTGTAGATTGCTATTCATGATCGCTGACAAAATAGCAAAATGGGCTGACAACTTCGTTCAGGATAGACTTATTATGCACATGGAAATTTGGGAATATCCAGAAGTAGGAAGAGGGTGGGTTGAGGGAGAGGGAAACTGAGTCTACTAATAGTGGAAAGGTGGTGGTGAGGGAGGGGGGCTTTGGGGGGATAGGGGGATGGAGGAGGTGAAGTGTGTGTGGGGAGGGGGGAGGAGAGGGAGTGTAGGAAGGGAGAGTGAGGAGAGATAGGAAAGTTTTTTCTTGAAGTTGTTTTTGTTTGTTTTGTTTTGTTTTGTTGTTTTTGTTTGTTGCTTTTTTCCTTTTGTTTATTTTGTTTTCTTTTGATTTCTTGTGTTTGTTTTAATCTAGTTAATGATTCTGTTTACTTGTAGGCAACAGATTACGGCAATAACTGTTGAATTTTTATATTGAAATAAACTTACTTCTTTGTTTTCTTAGATTAGAGGAAAGATGGCGCGGCAGGTTTAACTTGCACAAAAGGAGCGCTCGAGAACATTTCGTTCCTTTAACCAAAAACAAAAAATCCACACAAAAAAGCACAAATAGCATTTTCTAAGTCATAAATAGACCTAATGCGATGTACACGTGCTTTACTTATATGTCACCACTGTTGCTGGAAAAGACATTTTGAGTTCGATCATTCCAAGGACATGGTTAAAAAAACCTCCATCTTTTGGACTGGAACACGAGCATTATGGTTCATCTCTCTGAAAAGTAATTTAGATAAATTTTCCTCAAAACTTTGATGATGTCAGTTATGAGCAAGGTGAAATATTTCAACAAAAAATTAGAACTATGGAGGAATGGTAACAAGGCCGGTAGTACTACAAAATGACGTCAGATTACTGTTGGAGCATTCAAAGAGAATTTCCAGACACATCACACTCCAGCCGATCCCACAAAAGAAAGCTTCTGTCACAAACATGTTACCTCTGACTTAGGTACAGGAAACTACTTTTTGATGTTGTACCAGTGTCATTGTGAAATTTGACGATTTACATGATTTATGGGAATACCAAAAGGTTTCGATGTCTCATTTTTTTTTCTTGTATTTTTGGGGAAAAAATTGGTTATCATTTCAGCTAATTTAATAGCATACAGCAAAAACAGTGGCAATGCCATAGAGAAAAGCTAATCCAATAGCATACAGCAAAAACAGTGGCCGTGCCATAGAGATAAAGCGACCTTGAAGGACTGTAAATCAAGTCTAAAAACCAATGCTTCAGCAAAAAAAAGGCCATGAATTGGTAGTTTTTATAGGTTGTAATCATGTTATCAGCCTTCCTCTCTTTCTCTCCTTCCCTACCCCCCCCCCCCAACCTGGGAATTCTATCTTAGACTTTTACTTTTCACCTTGTGGCCTGGCTGTCTGAGTATATGTCCAATCCATCACCATCTTCTCCTCTTCACCATACTATTAATAGGTTATTGTTTGGTTCGACTTAACCCATCAATGCATGAACTCCAAGTGAAGGAACTCATGTTGCATTTGTGTCAGTTGATTTATCGAGCACATTTCTCTCCGTCTGTTTCCTCATAGCCTGGGTTGGCCCAGACAGGCAAGGTAGAAGCAGCCCGCCTCCCTAAATGATCTAAATCTGTGTCGATGGAGACGTAAAACATCTGCTACTACAACAAATAGTGGACTGGAGTCACGTTATGGTACTGAGGTGACAGTTGTCCCTTTCTTCGGACGAACCTTCACAATTTTTCTGGCTTTCATTCCTGTTTTCCCTGTATTTGTCATTAGGTTTCTGTGAGTTTGTATTCCTCATT